ATAAGTTCCGAAATAAAAAACGACATAGGATGGTGCTATCAACATGGATTAAGTATTAATAAAGATGAAAAGAAAGCATACGAATGGTATTTAAAAGCTGCCAACGAAGGCAACTTTAGTGGGTGTAATAATCTTGGCTGGTGCTTTGAAAATGGCATAGGCGTTATCGAAGATAAAATTAAAGCATTTGAATGGTATTCAAAGTCAGCAAAAGGTGGCAATTCTAGTGGACAAAATAATCTTGGACGTTGCTATGAAGGTGGAATAGGTATTGATAAAGATGAAAATAAAGCATTTAAATGGTTTTTAAAATCAGCTAAAGGTGGTAATTCTAGTGGGCAATTTAATCTTGGTATGTGCTATAGGAATGGAAAAGGAACACATCAAAATATGGAAGAGGCAGCAAGATGTTTAAAAAAAGCAAGAAGCAATCAGCATCAACATGTAGATTATGAAAATCTTGATATCGACCTTGTTGAATTTCTAAAAAATTCAATGTTAGAAAACAAATATCAATTATTTTGGATTCCACCTGAAGAACTAAAATACATACGTTTACAAAAAACTGTTAGATACGGTGCATTTTCTACTAAGTATTTTGCTAAATGGACATATATACATAAAAAAGGAGCAAGAGAAAAAATGGTTAGTGTGAAATTATTTCGTGGATCAAAAAATAACTATGAAATACTCATGAAGGAGGTAAATACAGTATTTAATAAAATAGTACTTTATACATGCATTACAATTCATTCAATAAATTAAAACCTTCTTGTTAAAGCTAAAGGCATACTACATGATTGGGTGTAAGGATCCTTCATTTCTTCAATGCTATGGAATATCAAAAGATGAAATCAGTGGAGATTATAGCTTAATTACTCAATATGTACCATTGGGCTTTCTTGGCCATAATCTTCATTTAGTTGCACAAATGAAATGGATTGAAAAGGCAAATTTATTATTCTATATAGCACATGACCTTCATTTGATTCATTCTCTTGAAATTATCCATGGTAATTTACAAGATGGTACCATAGTACAATCTGATATACATAACGCATATATAAGTAGCTTTTCATTGTCATCAGTTCATGAGACATCAATGGCGGACCAAACAATTATTGGAAGCTTACAACATGCTGCACCAGAAGTTATACTTGATTCGTTTACCAAAGCATCGGATGTTTACTCCTTCGGAATACTTATGTGGCAAATTTCTTCCGGAAAGTCCTCCGATTCTAAATATATGAACATGAATACAGATTTGTTTATGATGAGTATTTATAATGGAATGCGACCAACTATCCATAAAGAAACAATATCGTGTTATTCAAAACTTATGAAAAGATGTTGGAATAATGATCCAACAAAAAGACCATCTGCTCAAAAAATTTACAGAGTTCTCGCTACTTGGAAAAATGATATTGCAGCTTTCTATGAATCTGATCCAGTCGACTATGATGAAAACAAGGAAATTGATTTAATTAACCCAAAGACGCATACAGATTTCACTGAATCAAATGATGAACTTTTTGGTAATTTAATATTCCTCTAATTTGACTGCCAAAAAGCATTTGATTAATCATATTATTCAAATCTGCATATTTAGAAAAAGAAATTGTGAAGTCAATAAAGTTCATACCATGGAATGAACTAAGCAATATTTCAAAACTTGATGAGGGTTATTTTGGTATGCGAAATTTATCAAGTGTGCGGACATTATAAGTTTTAAATAGTAAATAATTATTTTGCTTTTCGTTTATATTGCTTAGGACTAGTAAGAAAAGCTTATTGGAAAAAGACGCACAGTGATGTCGTTTGTAAAGAATTAGTAAATCTTAAAGATATAAACGGCGGATACTACGATGCATTTATTCATGAATTAAACATGCATGCTAGGTCAGATCTTTGTGAAAATATCGTTCGATTTCTGGGAGTCAGTAAAGGTATTTCTATTTTGCAAATAATTTAATTACACATTTACGTAAATTGATTAGTTATATTATGTATAGATGCTATCAATGATCAATATTTCCTTATAATGGAATATGCAAATGATGGGAATTTACGGAGCTTTCTTAAAAAAAATAACCACTTGTTGAATTGGTATCAAAGATTAGAGTTAGCCTACCAAATTACAAAAGGATTATGCTATTTACATAGTGAAGAAATTATTCACAGAGACTTGGTAAGGTAGTCTTAAAATAATCTCTGCCAACAATGCACTAAACGGGCCAGGTTCAGGTCAGATTAAAAATCGGAGCTTAATGGTTCAACACAATTCGAAACAATCTAAATTTTCAATTATTTGACCCATTTTCGTTAGATTCAAATAAAAAAGTACAACACAAAAGTATGCATGTATTATTTTAGCATAAACTGCCTGATTTGGCCCGATCGGTGCACTGCTAATAATTTAAATTTAAGTCTCATCTTAAAAAAATTTTGTTTAGCATGATAAAAATATTGTTATCCATAATGGAAAAGCAAAAATAACTGATTTTGGAAATGCTGCAAGTATTAATACACAGACAAATATAAACACTACCCTTTTTGGAATGATTTCATTTTTAGCTCCTGAATTACTTAAACAATCCAAATCGGATAATATACCATACAGCAAGAAAACAGATGTCTATAGTCTTGGCATGATATTTTGGGAATTATCTAGCGGTCATCCACCATTTGAAAATTATCCAAATTATATTCTTTTATCTCTAGATATTATTCAAGGTTTTAGAGAAAATGTGATTTTTGGAACTCCTGAAGAATATAAAAATCTTTATAGTGAATGCTGGGATGCTGACCCATACAAGCGTCCAGACATCGAATATGTGCACAAATTATTAGAAGGAATAACTAAAATCTTGCCAAATATTGACTTCATAACTATTAATCCTGATGGTATTTTAATCTTTTTTATTTAATTTTGAATCTGTATTAACATGATAATTTATTTAGCTAACAATTAAAATTTTAGATGATGATAACCCAGCAATTGAACAAACACAGTCGATGGAAGTATTCTATGGTAAATTGTATTTATTCAATATTTTCCTATAAATGATTGTCTTTAATTTTTCTATTATTTTGCAATTAATGTATCAGGTTCAAGACTTCTAAGCCTATCTGTTAGTGACGAAAGTATTAAACAAAGAATTATTAAGTCTTCAAATATGAACTAGATAAACCGTCTTAAAAGTGTCGTGTGCTAATATTTATCCGAATCTTGTTTAGAAAATATTCTCAAACAAAACCTTGGTATTTCACGAAAAATTGCAATATAAATTTCACTAATCAAGCCTATTTTCAGTTGAAAGTGTTTATTTCAAATATTCATGCTCCTAGAAGCTATTTCACTTTCTCTAAGCTTTTATACTGTCATCTAATATTCTGACTATTACAAAATTTGATTTAATCGCTATAAAGTCATTTCTTTTATTGTAAGGAGATTATAGGCTTTCAACAAGGCCAAGTGTCTGCATGTAAACATAAATTTATCACTTAAATGTAATTAATTTATTTTCTCTTCACACTTTTACTGTATATCTTCATAAGTGCTTAATGATTTAATAATATTCATCTAGTTATATAAAAATTAAAAATAAATCATTATTATATTAGCATAATTTTAAATTATTCATATTAAAAATTGCTATAAAGCTAAATTTCATTTCTGCTGCTTTATTTTTCGAACATTTTGCTTTCTTTTTGTTTTGTATATGCTGGGATTCTATGTCGGAATAGTCAAAATTTGTATTCCTTTTAGGAAATTGTATCTCCTGCAAAAATAATCACGTTCATAGTAAGATATTCATATTATTGGTTGTTTAAGTATTAATTACAACAAAACACATGATATTATTCGTATGAATGGCATGATCAGCATCAGGAAAAGTATTGAACCTAGGGTTGTTAAAACTTACCTGACAACATAATTTACATGTAAGCTACACCGTAATTTACTGTAACTTACATGGCCCATATGTAAGTTACAATATATGTACTAAAGCCGGCCGAATCATGTG